CTGTTAGGCTGCTAGGCTGCCAGGCTGCAAACTTCACAAATTTCGAAGCGTCAAAATAAAAAAAACAAAGTTCAATATTTAAAAAAATAAAGATCGCGATACTGAAATAAGACGTGCAATGGTCTAAGTATGTGTTTCCGATTCATATCCGACGATTTCATGTTTGTACTATTCTTAGTTTTCTTTAGGCTGCTAGGCTGCCAGGCTGCTAGGCTGCTAGGCTGCCAACTTTAGGCTGCTGGGCTGCTAGGCTGTCAACTTCACGAACATGTTGTTTGTTTTGTTTTTTTATTCTGAAAAAAGTTATTTCATAAAAATTAATCTGCTGAGCATGTATACATGTAAACAGTGATCGCCGTTTATCAAATCGATAATTTCTCTGTTTCAAACAGTGAAATTACCAGTTTTTAACTCACTGATATATTTTTAAAAACAACCGAAAAGCATGTAAAAATATAGATATATAGTCAATTAGTGCAAATTCAATAATTTAACTTTTAAGGTCTAGGCCATAAAAGAGCCAAGGTCAATGTGAGTTTGATATACAGGATGGTCTTATCCTAAAGAATGCTCTATTATAGTATGAAGTCAATTCATTTAAGAATAACAACGATAAAGCCAGTAAAATATTTTTACTTTCAAAGTCAAGGTCATTTATGAGTGAGTGAATGTCAAAGCTGTCTGATTAACTTAAATGACTATCCTAAAAGTTTATTAAGTCAAGTTTGAAGCAAATCCATACATAAATAACAAATTTATAGCCAAATAAGCAATATATAAGGACAATTTGAACATTCGGCGGCCATTCATGGATGAAGGTCAACGTTAGGTCTGGTATACTGAAAGGGTTGTTGTGGCCAAGTATGAAGACAATACATTAACAAATAAAGTTATGATCAAGGTACAAGTTTGCGAACACAACGGCAAAGGCATCTAAAAATGAGCATAATGCTCAAAAAGTTTGATTAATACAAACTGAACGACCAACTTTGAAACCATTTAAATCATTAAATACAACTCGAAGCAAAGCAAAACAGAAGTATCTGTACTGACGTGTTTAACCGTGTTATTTCTATAAATAAAGTTAGAATATTAAAATAGCTTTCAGCACATCGACTTTTATAACGGTGAAACGATATACATGTTTAAAACTTTAACAAACAGTAAACAGATGAAGCAATAGATTAAACTAAATGATAAGTTATATCAATTGATTAGTGTTGTATGAGTGTGATGTCTTATTCACTCATGTTGAATAACAGAATTTAAAATTAAAACAGTAGGCATTTATAAAGTACTACTTGTTGTTAAGCAAAACAGACATATAATATCTTAATTGATTGACGTGCTGCCTTGTATTTTATGCTCCCCAAAGGGAGAGCATATAGTCGCCGCCTTGTCCGTATGTTCGTCCGACTGTCTGTCCGACCGTTGTCTTGTCCGGGACAGAACATGAAAATCCTTGGAAATAATTTGTTTAAACTTCACACAGTGGTAAAGGGCGTAAAGAACCATAACTCTGTTTTGCCCCGTTTCTGAATTATCTCTCCTTTTAGAAAACTCTTGTCCGGGACATAACATAATATTGTAAGAGATATCAACATAAAAACTTTGTTGGTAGAGAGGTCTCAATGTTCAGGTGTGCAGTGCATATAAACCGTACCTCTGCCTTTGTCTGATTTTGGAGTTATTGCCCTTTGTTCATTTTTCCAATTTGAACTTTATGCGGGACATAACTCAAATTATAAGAGATATCAAGATAAAACTTTGAAGGTAGATAGAAGTGCAGTGCAAAAGAACAATAACTCTGTTTTGCCCCATTTAAATTATCTCCCCGTTCAGAACAGTATTGTCCAGGTCATAACTCTAAAACTAAAACAAATATATCAACATGAAACTTTGTAGGTAGAAAGGTCTCAATGGGTAGATGTAGTGCACAAGAACCGTAGCTCTGCTTTGCCTAATTTTGAAGTTATTGCCCTTTGTTCATTTTTGCACTTTGAACATTGTCAGGGACATAACTCGAATACAACAAGAAATTGTGTAGGTAAATAGATCTAATTAAAAAGAACGGCAGTTGAAAAGAACCGTTACTGTGCCTAGACTATTTTTGGAGTTAGTTTCTTTTTTTAAATTTTACGCTGTAAAATTTGTCCGGGACATTACTGTGAAACTACAAGAGGTATAAACAAGAACTAAGACGATAGACAAAGCTTATTGATTAGATACTTAGTGCAAAGAAAGTAACTCTGCCTTGCCTAATTTTAAAAATATTTCACTTTGAACTTTGAACTGCGGCATACCTCTGAAACTACAAGAGGTGTACCTTTCTATGTCCAAAACCTTTTCGGGGAGCATCTCCCGGTTCAAACCGGGCTCTTGTTTATCTATAAGTAGAGAATTTCTTACGTTTTTGAATTTCATTAGACTGGTGTATAGTTCAACGACGGAAGAACAATGACAATACAATAATTATGTAAAGCCAAACAGAACACAGAAGACGCAATAGGATTTTACCATAGGTGAAGAGCTCGAAGTCGGCTCAGCCCTCTATAACGAAAACATATTCATATTAATTTTATTATTTCATTATAAAAGTCCGTACATTTATTGAAAGTAAATACATATAAGTGTTTAATATGACAATATGTTTTTATTATTTTTGTGTATACAGTATATTAGTAAATGAATGTAATCTGTAACTTACTGAAATGTTGAATCTATATTTATAAACGCGCCGACATGCTATTTAAGAATCTGCTTATTATACAAGTACTCCTGTTTATAACCGTTAGAAAGAAGTTTGTGAATACATACCAGTATGTTTCATATTGATGCTTAGTACGTACACTTGGTACATATATGCCATGAAGTGTGTGACGTATTTTGAAACAAAGAAAAAGAGTTTTCATTAAAACTGCGGCAAAAGGAGTGAGAAACGAAGTTTCGCCCTATTTAACCTTACATTTAATGTTAAGTTCTGACACAACAGGTCCGTCCAAGGACTTTGATGGTTATAATTTCAAGCAATAATATAATCCAAGTAAATTCAGCAAAACAAATATGTTAGCCCTTGAACATGTTCGGCAGCTTTTAATCTGTGCACTCATTATACAATATTCCAATTAACAAATTATATGTATTCTATTGCCAAGTACTCCAATAAACCTTCAATCCATAGATGAAATCCTGCAAAACTTACAAAACAGACACTTATGTACATAGAAGTGACACTTTATGTACGCAAATACAAAAGATATACTTAAAATATGATCAGTCTCAATAAGGATGACTTGAAATGGGCCACTTCAAAATTTAAAAGAACAGCTTTCTCGAGTACAACGGGCAGGGTCTTATTCCGTACCGGGTTACACAAAAAGTATGTTACAATATATGAAGCTAGATATGGATAAAAAAAGATTTTACAGAAATAGAGGATACTTAATTTTTTTCTATAAAAGCAGTATATATTTTCATCGAGATGTATTAAAAGAAAATCATAGTAGCAGTAGTCAAGGGTGAAAAATGATTATAATAATAATTTTCATACCACAAAATTTTGGTCGAAAAAAAACTTATTTTTTTCTGCTGATCATACACTATTCTTTATTTGACCTTCAAATTTGAAAGACTTCTGCTTTAATTGTGTGTAGTGACTGACTCAAGAAGACAAGAACCGGTTGAACCGGATGATGCTTCCCGAGAAGGTTCTGGACACAGGAAAGTATAAAAAAATGAACAAAGGGCAAAAACTCCAAAATTAGGCAAAGCGGAGTTATGTTTTTTTTGCACTGCACTTCTATTCAATGAGATCTATCTATCTATACAGTTTCCTGATGATATCAGAGTTATGTCCCGGGTAAAATTCAAAGTGTAAAAATGAATAAAGGGCAATAAATCCAAAATTAGACCAGGCTTTGTTTAGGTTCTTTAAGCATTTCAGTTCTATCCAATTTTATCTAGCTACCTACAAAGTTTCATGTTGATATCTCTAAGAGTTTTAAAGTTATGTCCCGGACAAAAGTCAAAAAGTAAAAATAGACAAAGGAAATAAGGCAAGGCAAAGTAATGATTCTTAAGCACTGCACTTCCACCCAATGAGACCTATCTATCTACAAAGTTTCATGTTTCATGTTGATAATTTTAGAGTAATGTCCCGGACAAAGTTCAAAGTGTCAAAATGAACAAAGGGCAATAACTCCAAAAGTAGGCAAGACAGTGCTACAGTTCTTGTGCACTGCAAACTTACTGAATGAGATCTATCTACCTACAAAGTTTCACGTTGATATCTCTTATACATTTAGAGTTATGTCCCAGACAAAGTTCAAAGTGTAAAAATAAGCAAAGGGGGATAATTCAAAAATTATGCAAGGCAGAGTTAAGGTTCTTGTTCACTGCACACCTACTCAATGAGATCTATCTACCTACAAAGTTTCATGTTGATACCTATTATAGTTTTAGAATTATGTCCTGGAAAAAGTTCAAAGTGTAAAATAAACAAAGGGGGATAATTCAAAAAGAAGGCAATGCAGAGTTACGGTTCTTGTGCACTGCACAACTACTCAATGAGTTCTATCTACCTACAATGATTCATTTTGATACCTCTTATATTTTAGAGTTATGCCCCAGACAAATTTCAATGTGTAAAATAAACAAAGGGGGATAATTCAAAAATTAGGCAAGGCAGAGTTACGGTTCTTGTGCACTGCACACCTACTCAATGAGATCTATCTACCTAAAAAGTTTCATGTTGATACCTCTTATAGTTTTAGAGTTATGTCCCGTACAACGTTCAAAGTGTGAAATAAACAAAGGGGGATAATTCAAAAATTAGGCAAGGCAGAGTTACGGTTCTTATGCACTGCACACCTACTCAATGAGATCTATCTACCTACAAAGTTTCATGTTGATACCTCTTATACTTTTAGTTGTCAACTAAAACATTATTATTTGTAGATTATTTAATCAAATTAATAATGCGTCATTAATCTGTATTCAAGGAATGGAGATGGCGGAGTCTTCCGATAATGAGCAGGAGATTGGACGCAAAGTCATAATCAAAAATTTTGTTGCACTCAAGAAGTATATGCATCCTGATCCTATAATTGATTGTGAAACAGACTTTGAATTACTCACTGTCACAGACAGGAGGACAATCCAGGTACGGTATAAAGCAGTTTGAATGCCACTGAAGTTTAGTTTATATCTGTAGGTCAAGTTGATTATCTTTGTCAATTTTCAGTTTTTGATGAAATGTGTAGCAATGTTTAATTCTTGTTTAAACTGTTAATTGTAATATAGCATCTGAGACATTTGAGGAATAATCTTTATTCACGCTTACATTTATTATATGATTAAAACATGTTTATCAATCCTGCATTCATAAAGCTATTCCTGATAGAGCACTATAAAAACATCTTATTCAAACAAACGAAACTAAAATTAAAGATTCTGTAACAAAATTTTAAAGTTTTATTTTATAAATATGATGCTTAAATTAAGATTCTTCAATATTTAAATAAACATTACTTATAAAGATATTACCGAATTTAACATTCCATGTAAATAAAGGAAGGTTATTAGAAATTTATTTTCTATAAATTCTAAGTCAAATTTCAAAGAAAAAAATAAATGCATATAATGTATTGGTTATTTATAATGTGAACAAATATTTGCAGCACATATTTCACATATTCTTTGATCTTTGAAACTTGTTTAATTTGCATAAATATAACTCACGAATCTTATTGATAAAATATTTTGTTGCAGGGTAAGGGCCTTATTGAAAAGAATGAAGCGATATTTAGGAAAGTAATGTCTAAAGGTGCAAGAGGTTACAAAGATTTTAAAGAGCGTCTTAAAAAGACTTGGCAGACTGAACTATTACAGCTAATCGTTTGTGCAGAGAATGGACAGAACACAAGAGAGATAGAAGATCGGCTTAAGAAAATTGCAGTTTTAAGTCCAGAGTATATCAAACACAGAGGTGGTAAGTAAATTTTGTGAAGCTGACCTTAGCAAAATGTTTGGCTGAAATGTTAGAAAACGCAATTCATTGTAGGAAATTTCTTCGTACCATAGTGAATCCCACTCAGAGGGTTAATTTGATTTAATATTAAACTGATTTATATGGTGGCGGATTTCTGCCATTTCGCATTTTCACTACTCGACCCCGACAAACGACAATTAACAAGGAAGAATGAAATCAAACCGAGCCTGCAACATTTTTAATTTTGTTGATTCTGTATTTTCCATTTCATAGTCATAGATAACAAACACATTTAAACAATTCTTCATCCGAAAATACATCTTTTAGCTGTTATATACAATTAAGTAGTGGCAACAGATTGTTCGAATAAAAGCTTTGAAGTATATCTTTAATTGTACTATTATGATCTTATGTTTAAAAAGAAATATAACACAATTTGTACGTAACGTGATTCTCATTATAATGTTTTTTTTTTTTTTTAATCTGTGTCACACAAAACACTCAGAGGTTGTGTTTCAGTATTTAATCTCCAAATAGTAAAACGTTAGCAGCTGTTAAAAAATCGTTTCCCTAATGCAGACTTTAAAATATTTTAAGAAAAGCGGTTTTACGTACGATTGCATGGAAAGCGAACGTCCGTTCATTTAGTATTTCTGCAACACCTTTCCCTTGTTATACCTTGTATCGTGTATCCAAGCTCACAATCATACTCTACCAAACTTTTCTTTATTGGCGTATTTGTCTCTCAGTACTGCATTTTGCACTGGGTTTGGTTTTCTGCATTTTGCTTGTAATTTAAAAATCATGAATTCAAAGTGATCAAATAATGGTAAATAAATGAAAGTGCCTATTATGTAAGCCGTGTCCTATCTCTCTAATATTTTGTCCTGCTTTGCCCTTTGGTTTAAAAAAGTTTTATAAAGTAAATATGGGAAACACATTTATTTTAATCTTCGTGTGAAAATAACCGGTGCAATGGTGCTATACAGCGTAATTATTATAGCACTGAACTCCTAAATATGAGGTCATGAATGAAAAATATATCTACAATATTCTCTTTCGATTTTTATATTTAAATGTTTTAAATAAACGTGCTTTCAAGTATTTTAGCAAGACTTAAAGCGGTAGGTACGTAAATCGGGTTGCGTAACAGATATAGTAATATATGCAATACTAAATTTAAATGATCTAAAAGCGTCGTCTGTATAAAGAATTATTATTTTATCAATAATTTATGTTGAAACAGTATGGTGTTGAAAACAAAATTGTATTATCCTTGTATTACATTTTATCACATAAACCGCGGCGCAGGAGTGTTATATAGCCATGTAATAAAAACGATATAACACCAGTGTAATAACACTTTGACGTGACGTCATTTGCGCTATATAGAAACATAGCGTTAAAGCTCGCTAATGTTAGCGTTTCACTGTAGGCGTGTCATAGAAAAAGTACTCATTTAAACAGTTTACTATTCTTATTCTATATATGTGATGAATAGAATATTATATCCGTGTAGATTCAGTACTAAATTTATTGAACTCGTTGAATAAAACAATATTATGCTCGCCAGAGGCTCGCATAATATGATTTTATTCAACTCGTTCAATAAATTTAGTATTAAACTACACTCATTTAATATCCTCTATATATTTAACAATTTGTAAATGTTGCCAATAATTTAGCCTGATTTTCTAACACATTAACTGTGTATAATTATTTCGGTGGCAAAAAAGTGACATGTGTGTGTGTTTTTATTTATCTCATGCACATGAGATACTATGCCGTGGCCAAGAGATAGTTAAGTCGTGGGAACGAGATGAATATACTATGTCATGGCAACGAGTTACTGAGTCATGGTCACGAGATATATAAGTCTTCAGCACGAGATACTATGTCGTGGCCACGAGTTACTGAGTCATGGCCACGAGATAAATATGTCGTCGGCACGAGATACAATGTCGTGGCCACGAGTTACTTAGTCGTGGCAACTGAGTTGCTACGGCGTTCTTACTGCGATCCAACTGCTCCTTTATCAGAACGCAAAATGGCGGCGTTTGTTTGAACATGCTCAAAATGCGCACTGTCGGTTGGCGTTCTATGCGATGCCACTTTGATGCTGCGGCGATGTTTGCGATCTAATTGCGCTCACCGCGGCGTTCTCAATTTTCTTAGGACGCCGTGAAAACACCGCGCTATTGTGACAGGAGTTTTAACCAGGGCGCCTACACGGAGATTGTACGGCGTTTCTACCACGCTCATACTGCGTGTCCACGGCGCTTTTACGGAGCTCTACGGTTTCAGCGCATTGTTAGAGAAGCCCAACGCCATGTCATCAAAAGTGTCTAATTTTTATGGCGATCTGGCGGCGCTTTGTTTATTAAAGGCCCTGTCACACTAGACGACCCGTTCACTGCGTTTGCACGGCGTTCTAAATTTATCAAGCGCCACGAGATCGCAAGAAAAATCTGATATTTTTGATGACTTTGAGACTTCACGGCGTCTTCACGGCGAGCTCAAGGCGAAAATAGCGTTGCTACGGAGCTTCAACGGCGTTGCAATGCGTTCTTACGGCGTTTTAATAGGCGATTGTTTGCGTAAGGACTGCGCTTCTACTGCATTTTTTGCGCTTTCATTGCCCTTTCACAGCGCTCACAAGGCGCTCTTGTGGCGCTCATACTGCGCTGAAATCGTGCATCATATACCAGCAATTACTCATTCTGAATCATCGTGTACCTGCTGCACCTGCATGCAAGCAGGCAATATTCCAGCTTGCTGCTGTTTATCATCCGTGGTTAAAAGGGAATTTACTTGCAAACGCGTTCTATATACAAAGTGAAAACCCGGTTTTAATACCATCGAAGGGACTGGACTAAAGTGGTCTTAATTGCGAATATAATTACCAGGACACATTTGTTTTATGACCACTCAATTTGAATTATTGTGCATAGACATGTTTATACAATTAAATCATAACTTTCAAATATTACTATAAACTGATGTTATAATATGTAATCCTAAATTAAACAGAAATGTCGAAAGATATTTTAATTAAAGATTAAATTTTCATAGGTCTTGTTTCATGTACGTATTTCATCTAATAATTAAGAAATTAATTTTTCACAAAAAATGTGGAGAAAGTGAAATTTAACCAATCTGAAGTTTTTCTCGCCTTTATACAATTTTCCAGATCAAGTGTCATGCTTAAGAGAATTCAAGTAGATGAATAACAAGAAACTTGTTATCATAGTGGGGTTAGAAAAATAAAACAATGAATTGGGACTAAAACTGGTGGTCTTAAAAATCTTTCAAAAATCGGTCTAAATAAAGGGTTCTCTTTTATTTATGGATGATCTTAAGTAGGGATTCAACTGTACCGTATTCTACAATTTCAGATGGCCGCAGTAAAATCGCATCGAGTGCGCGATGGTTGTCGTGACAGTGCTGTAAAGTCGCGGAAAGAGCGTTTTAGAAACATAAAGCTCCGTAAAAGCGCCGTACATACGCAGTATAAGCGCTGAAGAGACGTTGCACAATCTCCGTACAAGCACCATGGCTAACCACTGCGTTTATTCGGCGATCTATCTGTGCTTTCACTGCGCTCCTGTTGCGTTGTAGGAGATGCTACTGAGTTGCTACGGTGTCCTTACTGCGATCCTACTGCGCTCTTATCAGAACGCCGAAGGACGGCGTTTGTTTTGAGCATGCTCAAAATGCGTGCCGTCGGTCAGCGTTCTATGCGATGTCACTGCGATGATGTGGCGATGCTGCGGCGATGTTTGCGATCTTACAGTGCTCACCTCAGGGTTCTGAATTTTGGGCACCTTGAGAACGCCGCCTTGGTGTGCAACACCGTGCAAACGCAGAAAAAGGACTGTCTAATGTCACAGGGCATTGAAAACAAACGAGGCAGTAGATGGTGAATGTACTTGTCCTTTAGTTTTCTTCATACGCTTTCTATATTTATTATTATTATCACATACTCCTTTTTACTTTAATTTTATTCTATTTCAGTTTTTTATATTATTCTTTCATTCATTGGTTCATTCATACATTCATTCATACATTCATTTATTCATTCATTCGTTTTTTTTTATTTTTAATCATTTATTTATATATTTATTTTTATTAGCTCACCTGATGCTCAGGGTGAGCTATTGTGAGCTATCGTCCGTCGTCGTGCGTCGTGTGTCGTCAACTTTTAACATAAACAACATCTCCTCTGAAACCAATGACTGCATATCAACCAAACTTTACAGAAATGATCCTTGGGTGGTCCCCTTTCAAAGTTGTTCAAATGGTTCCGGTCTGTTACATATGTAGGTCATAGGGCCAGAAAAGGATTTCAAAAAACACAAAATTAAAAAAATCTTCTTGTCTGAAAGTACATGGGCCAGAGCTTTAATTTTTGGTATATGGTATCATCTATGGGTCCTCTACCAAAGTTGTTAAAATTTTGTCCCTAGTGTCAAAATTGGCCCCGCCCCGGAAGGTCATAGGTTTTTCCTTATATGTCTATAGGTAAATCTAAAAAAATCTTCTTCTCTGATTTGGCAAAGGCTACAGATTAGATATTTGGCATGAAACATTGTGTAGTAGACCTCTATCAAGATTGTTCAAATAATGGCCCTAGGGTTAAAATTGGCCCCGCCCTGGGGGGTCATTGATTTTCATTACATACATATAGTGAAAACTTGAAAAATCTTCTGGTCTGAAACTAAATGGCCTAGAGCTTTGATTTTTGGTATATGGTATCATCTATGGGTCCTCTACCAAAGTTGTTCAAATTTTGCCCTAGTGTCAAAATTGGCCTCGCCCCGGGGGGGGGGGGGTCATAGGTTTTTCCTTATATGTATATAGTAAAATCTAAAAAAATCTTCTTCTCTGATTTGGCAAAGGCTACAGATTAGATATTTGGCATGAAACATTGTGTAGTAGACCTCTATCAAGATTGTTCAAATAATGGCCCTCGGGTCAAAATTGGCCCCGTCCTCGGGGGGGTCATTGATTTTCATTATATACATAAAGTAAAAATCTTCTGGTCTGAAAGTAAATGACCTAGAGCTTTGATATTTGGTCTATGGTATCATCTATAGGTCCAAAACCAAAGTTGTTCAAATTTTGTTCCTAGAATTAAAATCAGCCCCGCCCTGGGGGGTCATTGATTTTCCCTATATGTATATAGTAAAAACTTAAGAAATCTTCTTTTAAAGAACCCAAAGAGCTAGAGCTAAGATATTTAGCATGAAACATCTCCTAATGGGTGTCTATTAAATAAGTTAACTCATGGACTGTGTTTTTTGTTTTATATATATATATATATATATATATATATATATATATATATATATATATATATATATATATATATATATATATATATATATATATATTATATATATATATATATATATATATTTATGCCTACATAGTGGCGTATATAAAAATTGACTACATGAAATAATGCCACTCAACTCGGTATTATATATAGGCCCCGTAAGTGAAGGTATGTGTGAATATATATACATTAAAAATCTTCTTTTAAAAAACCCAATAAGCTAGACCTTAGATGTTTAGCATGAAACATCTTCTAATGGGTGTCAACCAAGTTTGTTCAAATAAAAGCCCTGGGGTTTAAACTGGCCCCGCTCCGGGCCTATATACAGGTGAGCGACTTTGGGCCATCATGGCCCGCTTCTTTATTTATTTATTTAATTATTCCAGGGGCGTAGCCAGCATTTTTCAACTTGTAGGCCCTTGAAAGGGGTTCCAAGGGGCAGTTGCCCCTTGGTAAGGGGGTCTGGGGAGCGAAGCCCCCCAGAAGCCAGAAACAGGTTGAGATTAAAAGGAGCAAAATGTATGTTCCAAAGAAGATCTATTTCCAAGGACAATTATCAAAACAATACTTCTAAAATATGAATTTGATAGTATTCAAACTTTACCGAGCATGGTAATTAAATCATGCATAAGCCATTAATGGTAGAATGCTACGTCAGCGCGCACCTGTAAAATGCTCTCAATCGGGCTTTTTTGTGTAAATATCCCGTCGAGTCGAAGATAAAATATGTTTTTATTCCAAGAAATCGTTAGAAAATAATAAGAATGTAGCGTTTTTATTTAAAGTAATTGATATAAGTGCCTAGTTACTGCCTAGTTTAGACCTGAAAACGGATAAAGTTTTTTTTTCTAAATGCTCCCACTCGGACTCCTAAACAAAATTTTGTCTTCGAGTCGACGAGATAACAATTCGATTGGTAGTATTTTGTAGGTGCGGGATGACGTAGTATCCTACCATTGGTCATCGGTGCATCTTAGATAAGGTCCATTTTTCTGCATTTAACAGAAGCAAACTTGTTGATTACAACATCAACGTCAACATCAATTTCTCTGTGGATATGAAGAATGCCGAGATCGGACAATCTGTCACCCGTCATCGTGCTTCTCATGTAAGATTTGATACGGCGCATAGAACTGAATGAGCGTTCACAGGACGCAGACGTAGCCGGCATTGTTAGCAATACTGACAACGCTTTGTGAATACCAGGATATGCGGCCTTAGGAGTGCTGTCAAGTAGAGACAGAAGAGTTGATGGCCTTGGTCTGCCGTCATCTTGACTCCACCGCGCCCTCCAGCGTCGAATTTCACCCTGAAACACTTCTTTCGATATATTCATATCCTGGCTGTAGCTTGTGAATATAGAATCTACATGTCCATCATTCAGGTTCCTGATCTTTGAGGGCATGAGCATTTGTGCACAAAAACGATCATGATTGCTCATCACCCGGGTACTAATTTCCTCGGCAAGATGGTCAACGAAAACGTTGAATAAAGATACTCGCCAGTATTCCTTTGGATCCCCAATCTGATAATTGGCTCTATGGCGCTGTCTGGCGGCTTGACGCGGTACACTTGCATCAATCTGTACAAACACAAACAATAATTGTGAAAATAATTTGATTGTACTATTTTCGATGTATGTGGTAACTGCGTTCGTATACATGTACCATATAAAATATCCCCTTAACGTTAAAATAAATTGTGTTTTTTATCATAGTGATGTTCGTAATACACGTGCTGCTTCTGTCAAAGGTCAACTAGTTAACTTATACTATTATAAGTTATACGGCTTAGTAAGCACTATATTTATTACTAATTGGCCATAAAACAAATGCACTGTTATATGGAGGGATTTGATCGGTCTTAAAAACTTGAAGATCTCATTTTAATAGGCATTTATTATAATAGTGGTTGAATCGTTTTACCATTTTTATAAACCATTAAACAATAAACAAGGATTTTCTAATATTTTACCTGAAATTCAGCAGCTATGTCCACGGCTGTCTGGTAAATTGCATCAAACACCGCATCGTCCTGTCGTTCTGCACGTAGAATGTCTACCACAACACCGGCTTCACGTACAGCCTCTAACAAATCCATACTCACCTGTAAGGAAAAATGAATAATCCTACGCATGACAATTGTGATATTCACTTGACGATCTTGGAAATGTATGAGATCTAATAAGTCAGAATTAAAGGATATTGATTGAGTGTATGAGTACTACTGAATTTATTGAACGTGCTCAATAAGATAATATTTTGCAAGCCTCTAAACGAACTTACAAGAATTTAATATTCTAATTATCACAAACAAAACACAAAACAAAACAAAAAAGACTCAGTGTTTAAAGTGAAAAACAACCATTTGCACGGCAATATGATTCCATTATCATGATTATGGAGTCGCAAAAGCGATAATTCATTTATCTATTTATCTTTTCATTCATTCATTCCTATATTTATTTATTTTTTTTATTTATTCATTCGTTTATTTATTTATTATTTAATTAATAATTTGTTTATTCATTCATTCATACATTCGTTTTGTATTTACTTATCTATTTACCTATTTATATATTTATTCATTCATTCATTTTTGTTTTTATTTCATTTATTCATTCATTCATTCATTGAGTTGAAATAGCTTTGGGTAGACTAATAAGAAAGTAAGAGGGCAATTAATAAATTAGAAAAGTTGAAAACCGTAATTAATAACTCAGACCGATATCACAAAATATTAAATGCAGCATTTAAACTGATTTCAGGCTGTCAACCAGGTCTTATCATAAATAAAGGAGGAATATAGGAATATTTTAGCAGGAAATATAGGAGTTTTTGGACCATTTTGAGGCAAAAAAATAGGAGTTTTCAACTTAAGTAATTGTTTAACTTACCAATGCTTATATAAATGTAAATTATTCTTACTTTTACACATGCTGTTTCTACAATAAAATGTCTACCGTATAAGTGAAGGAAACCATTAGCAGGCTGTCCAGCACCTTCCGACATAAAATTAGGGCGAATTTTACGGTAATATTTCAGAAATTTTAAGGCTAAAATTAGGAATTTTAGGGTACATAATAGAAATTTTAGGGCTAAAATTTGCAATTTTATGACTAAATAAACTAAGGTCCATAAAGACCATGATGTGGGCTAACCTTTGCATATTTGACACAAAAGTAACTCACAAATAATGCTCTAGTTTAGTAATAGAGCAAAGGTGCTACCAGTGTGGACTCACTGGTCAACTGCCTCCCCTGCGGAAATGGTCATAGTCAAATCATGTTCAAACCATATTTTTTAAAATGGCTGAACATGTCAAAAAGAACATGTTCTACCTATGTTTTGGGAATGTTATAACCACAAGTGTCTAAAAGGAATTCTTATACAGTGAAATTCTTGCACAATGCAGCTTTTGAATCATAATTATGGACGAATGAAATTTTTTGTAAAAGTAGGTAAAGAGTAAAAAGGTATTTGCCTTAGTACAGTCATTTGAATAAATGAGAAGCATCTATAATTAACACAAAGAATTGCACATCAAAATAGTTCATCACACAGACCATTCAATTGCAGTTTATCTAGATCACATAATTGCAAAATGTGTGTACATTGTAATTGGAAATGAGCTTTATATTACTGAACTGCCAAATTATTTTGAGTGTGATTAATTATATGAGTCTGCCTTTCCTAAATTGCACCATATGAATGAAAGAACAATCTTGAACTGAATGAAATTGATAACTTTGTGGCAAAATAAGCAATTTCTCCTACAAAGATACGAAAAGAATAAATAAGTATGAGGGAAAGAATTAATTTTTCAAAGTCTATGTTAACCCATTCAGTACTTTACAATGTTGTTTTGATATTATGCAGATTTAAATAAAAGAGTTGTATAAATAGTTGTCAAAAATTAATGTACTATTTGTTTACTCACAAGTCCACTTATTCTGGAATATTTTGACACTGTTTTGCCAACTCCAGATATCTTAAATTTTATGTTTGTTCATTTTATGAAGCTGTAACGTAACACAATCTTAATTAAAAACATGTATAAATAGTTGTCAAAAATTAATGTACAATTTGTTTACTCACATGTTTTTAATTAAGATTGTGTTACAACAGCTTCATATTTTTTTTTGATCATTTTCAAATATGATATGATACAAATGGACCACTTCAGAAATTTGAATAAAATGAACAACATAAAATTTAAGATATCTTGAGTTTGCAAAACAGTGTCAAAATATTCCAGAAAAAGTGGACTCTTATGGTTATGATTCAAGTTTCAGGACAATGATATGGTAGTGTTTTTGCTGTTAACTGTCAACATGATTATCAACAACTGCTTTGATTATGAAATAGCAATGTTACTGACATAGTCAAAGTAACTTTTAGTTGAAACGAAACCATTTCAATGTCATCAATTTTGAGTTGGCAAATCATGGCCAAATCATTTTTGACAATGTTCAAATATAGTCGACTTTGAGTTATGTTTTCAGGGTTACAAGTTATAAGTATGTTTAGTACAAAAGATAAAAATAATTAGGAATTTCAGTGAAAAAATAGGGCAGTTTTAGGAATTCCCTTCGAATTTTTCACTTCTTTAGGAATGTTAGGGATGCTGGACAGCCTGCATTAGCTTTAAACCACAGCATCAGTAGAAAGTTACAGCAATGCATGACCATCATCTGAATGGTCACCTGAAATAAAGTTGACATACTGATGCACTGCTTTTCATGGTGACCATGCAGATGGCTATGTGGAGCACAGCAGCCTTGAGCATAGTAATGTGATGCTGATGCAGGCATACACATTCTCTTACCTGTAAAATACAAAAGGCCAAAAGCAGTACCAAAAGTTAAATCTCTTTGAATTCCTCGGCAATATATTTTTAAAAAAATATAGGAAAAATATTCAAAATATAGGAGAATATAGGAAAAATAGGTGTTTTTTTTAAAAATATAGGATTCCGACCCAAAATATAGGAGTTTTATAGGAATATAGGAATTGGTTGACAGCCTGTGATTTATATGGTGGCGGATTTCTGCCATTTCGTATTTTCACCACTCGACCCCGCCAAACGAAAAGTCGACAATTAACAAGGTAGAAGGACGCGGGCGCGGAGCGAAAACTCGTCAATAACCGGGGGCTAAGGGCGAAAATTTGATGTATAAAACGTAGCCCCGCCGTGGTGCGGATCGTGTTTTTCAAAATAAAATGTAGGGGCACATAGCGCAAACACGCTTATTAACGGGAGTGCGAGGAGAAGTTAAATAAATACAACGTCGACCCAAGTCCTCGACCACGCCGTTGATATATTTACTTAACCTCGCCCCCGCAATCCCTCCAAGCGTAAAGTCGAGCAAAAACAAGTTAAAATAGAAGGGCGCGGGCGAAGTTTAATTAATAATTCAAGCACACAAATAAGCATGTTTTCGCTCCTCTCCCTTGCCATTTTAACTTGTTAATTCTCGTATTTTCATTTGATGGGGTCGCTGGTCGAAAAAGCTACAATCAGCCAACATGGATTTACAATAAAACAAGTTTGTTTTTATCATTTTGTTTGCTTGTTGTCTTTTTTCTCCTTAATAACATTTCTAATAAACACATCAAAAAATGAAACTTTATATTATTTACAAAGTTGGCATGTGAAAAAGTAGACCGATAGGTAAAATGTTTTGGAATTGAAAAATGTCTTGACAGTGAAATGTCTTGAATTATCTATGAAATGATACCTCAATGTCATGTTTAAAGCTGCACGCCTCCACATGAGCCAACAAATTTCAAGAAAATCAATATTGAGAAAAATGTAAAAAGTTTAAAGAAAGTACGTAAAACAGTCAGGATCCAAGTGATATTTCACATGTTATTTGTCGTTTAAAACTGATTTTGCAGTGTTTTATCACCATATTTCTACTGCATTACTAACGCAGTAAGGGCTGTTTTTGCATATGTGGACCACTTTTTCTGTTATAATCTTGGATTGGTAGTGCCAATTGAAATATGTAAATTGTTTGATTTGTTCATCTCACAATATTATACTTTTAAATACATTTCCAAAATTTTGAATAAAATTAACATGAATCTGTGAGGTGCTTTAAAGGTCAAGTCCAAAATTTTCGCATCTCTGGTAACTGTAAAAAAACCGTTACACATACCAAGGCAAATCAGTATTCCTCATTTGAAAACTGTTTAATCACCCTCATGATATGCGGCCTGCCTTTTAAATATGTCTTTTGACGTATTATCTGTGATATGCAGGTTAAATTATCTCTGATCTTATTCCTAAAATCAGTTCATGTTATGTGCTGAATTCTGCTTAAACGCCGGTGCTTGTGGGCATGGACGCTAGTTTTCACTTGACAGTACCGTCCATGAATAGGCTCAATCAAACCGAGCCTGCCACTTTTCAACTTTTCCATGATGAATTCTTATTTTCTATATTTTATCACCACATAACCGTTGTTTGTATCGTGTGGAGACTTTAAAAAGGCCCCCCGTACATTCAATCAGACATGTTATAATTATTTCTGATCCTTAAAGATCGTTCATCACGACAATTTTGCTGTGCTTGTAGTATTTTTTTTTCGGCTTTTTTCTTTTGGGACGGTTTCAGTATTCCTCACTTGAATACTGTTGAATCACCTTAAAAACATGTGGCCTGCTTTTAAAATTTATCATTTGAAGTATTATCTGTGATATGCAGGCTTCTTAACCCCTTATCTCCTTTCAAAATTCCATTTTATTTAGCTCCGCCCATTTTTTTTCTCGTTTAGGGCACACATACTGGGGACCATATGCCGCTTTTCGTTGAATAGCACTTACTTGTCAAATTGAATGTTCTATGACAACTGCCATATGAACACATCTGCGGATATTTCAAAATTCAAAATTGTACCAGGTCCAGTTAAATGTTGAATTGTCCTTAAGCCGGTGCTAGGGGGTGGACGGTTGTTTGCACTTCACAATACCGTCCATGAGCAGGCTCAATTAAACTGAGTCTGCATTTTTTTTTTTTGCATTGTCGTTGATTATTTCCTTTGATGTTCCTCTTACTGCTACAAATCTTCTTAGACACAGAATAAACGGATTAGCGGTCATATCTTGTACAATTTCCAAATGTATACAACGAATAACTAGACAACTGAAAATGCAAATCCAAACCTTTTTAATTTCATCATTTATATAAAGCGGTCCGAGATAATCTAAGCCTACAGAAGAAAATGGAGTAGTTTCTGTGACACGTTCTCTCGGCAAGGGAGCCATAGATGGCAATTTATAAGGACCACCTTCAACTCGTCTACAGACACAGCACGATTTTAACACCGGACGAATTGTTGCTCTTCCTCTTGGAATTCAAAA